GGTACTATGCATGTATTGGATATCCTTGTTACGGTTCTTACAATTTGGAATACAGCTCTTTTTTTTTTTTTTTTTTTGAATGAGGCACGTAATGAAGATCTCTGCACGAACAGCCAATATTGCAAGGCAGAGTAGGTGATTTCAGACTTCAGGCAAATCTGCTTCATTTTTGTCCCCTCCAATCCTAACGCTAGACCTCCCGTAGTCTGCAGACAAATACGGGAGTCTTCCAAGAAACTGGTGATACGGATTAGAAAAAGTTCTGCATAAGATGTCATTTCTCTGTAGAAGTGATATTCTTTTAAGAGGACCTGGTGTGGTCCCAGTTTCTCTGTTAAGGAAGGATTTCACTGAGGTTTTGTTCGCTGTTCGTAGCTGTATGATTCCATAAATCATGCATTTGAGCCCAGTTGCTGGTGCATCACAAGAGCCAGAGTCTGTTGCCACAGGATGGCGCCTGATGGCCAGGCTTGCAGGGCTGCACGCAGGGAAGAGTTAGACCCCAAACCCACGGGTGAGAGATAGATGTGCTACATTCAGTCTTAACCCACATAGGTATTTCCTATGCAATTCTCATAAATACATGATCTTTCTCCCTTTGTCCGGCTGGACTGCCCACCCTCTTCTTCCTCAACGCTACGGTTTTATCTGAAACTGGTTATTGTGCTCCAGGAAAGTGAGACTGGGTCAGAACTCTGACCATCCCTTACATTGTTCTATCGAGTCACTGCACAACAAGAAACAGCAACCTTTTGTCATGCCAGTTATTTCATTGCCCATACCTAGGACTGACCAGTGTCGCATGCTCAATACTCTTTATCGAGCAGCACCATTTCCTTGCCAGCAGTTCTGATGAGCAATGATAGGAAATGAAATTTATTGTATCTAAAAAGTGCAATTAGGGGGTCTTGAGACTGGAAATGTATGATTTTGCCAGGTTTTAACAGCAGTTTAAAAGTTTTGATTCACAGACAAAACGCTTCCTTGGCTCTGCTGGTGTGTGGATGTTGCGGTAGGTCTTAGGGTGTTCGGTGTGCTGCTTGGCACAGGCCTGCAGCGCTTCGGGATGTCTCTGGTTGCGTTGGTTTGGCAGTGCTGGTGACACGTGAACTTCTTCCCAACTCTCCTGTTTTCACCCAATGGCCTTTGCTTGAAGTTGTGCGGTGCAGAAGGGACATCTAGTGGCCAGACGGAAAAGTGGCGACAGTGCGCGTTGAGGGCAGGAACTCCGGTTTGCTGCAGAAGGAGCTAATTTCGAGTTAGAGGATGGACCCCGAAGAACCCTCAAGCATTACATCACCAAACTGTATTTGAACTTTTCGGTGTATAGAATTGGCCTGTGAGCCTGTAGGCTTGAAATTCCAAAACCTGAACTTTTAAAAAATATACCTGGCACATTTCTGCAGTGATTGAGAGCAGAGGAGCATACTGGAGCAGTCATTTTTTTGCACACTATTTTTGAGAGGAACTGGAAGTTTTTTCTTTACTAGCTCAACTTTGCAAGGTCAAAGTCCACAGCGCTGTTAGCATGGACTTCTTTGTTTATGGTTGTGCCTAATAACCCTCACAGGATGAAGCTGGGGAAAAAATCAGAAGATTTTGATGCTGTTAGCTTGCATTGTTCAATTTGGAAAAGTAGATTTGTATTCAGCGGTGAGGTTCCAGAAATGTAAGGAAGCAAGGTGAGGTGTCTCCTCCGAGGCAGCTACGACATGTGCATATGACGGGAGATGGAAATGTCTTTATCCTTACCAGCTTCTGTTTGGGATGTTGGCTGTCATATCACAGATCTGAGCTCTAGGATCTGATCTGTAATATTAGGATTATTTTAAGCCCTGCGTGAGGGAAGATTGTGAAACTTATGCAAGCGTATGTTGTTCTTGGAATGCAAAGTGCAGTCTGTTATGCTTAGGTACTTTGCCATGCAACTCATTCTGAACCGTTTGTAGAAAAAAGTATAGGATTGTTTTGTGAAAAATATACAAGAAAGTATAGAGCAAGAAGACAGGAAGGTTCTGCTGAGTACCCCAGACCTACTCTCTCCCTTTTCTCTTAATCCAGCTTGCCTGCTGCTGCCCCATTTTCATGGCATGCATTTCCGGCTTGCAGAGTTCCCTGCCTCCTGGCTGAGAATAGAAGCCTTGCTGTTATGCTGTCCTTAAGTCTCTTGTAATGAGTGTTACACAGAGGAAAGCAGCTGTGTCCTTTGGCTCTAGTTTTAATACTATGTTAAAGAGCAGATTATACTGACGTGGGACTGCGGTGATGCGGAGGTAGCACAAACCATGGCCAGTTTGGGGAAGGCTTTAGCAAGGATGACTAAGGACTTGGAGCTTATGCTTTAGATAACAAATCCACCCAATTGTGCTCCTTCTTTGGAAATGTAGTCAAGCCTAACAAATCAGAGTCTTAACAGAGTTGCATTAGGGTCCTTTAATTGGACTAAGCTGGTTAATACCCCCATTGGCTTTTGTATGCCTAAGGGTCCCGAGATGGTCTGCATTTGAGCTGGCAAAACCTCGTAAAATTGCAACCATGAACGTTGAAAAAAAAAGAAATTCTAATATCCTCACAGGTAGACACTGGATTAAGGTATTTTAATTATTATAAGGAAGTCAGATATCTTGACCTATGCAGGCTTCGTTAGCGTGTGTTTCGAATGACACTAAATGAGCCTTAAGTCCTGGCAGACCACTTGGATGTGCTAGCAGTCAACAGTGGCCATAGAGAGCAAATGAACACTTTTTTCAGGAGGATCATCTCGTAACCTGCTCTAGCCCCAGAACTCACAATATGTGCATCCTGGCAGCGGTACAGGTCTGAGAGTCTCACCTCTGTCTGTGGAAGATTTTGGCTGAAAACAATATGCTGCTGCTGGTTCCCAGGTTGCTCAAGTCCAAACCCTGTTGCGACAAAGGCGTGAAATGGTACCTTCAGAAAGGTACCCTTCGTAGATTCCTGCGTGTATGATAGTATTGACATACTGGCTGTGTTAGCAGTTCAGTTCAAACCCATCCACATCAACTTGGCAGAAAGACCAAATGAAGACTCCAGAGTGAAACTCAGTCACTAGCACAAGAAGCTGCTGCTCGAGACGTTGTCTCAAATGTACTGAGAGACACCAAGAATGCTCCTTCCTGGAGCTTTTTAGCTATTCAGCCTCTCCTAAACTGTTTTGTTCTTTTCTGAGTCTGGCTAGTGTGTAAGAAGTCTTTCTTAGCGAATGGCTCTATCGGGGTATGAGGTGCCACAGGCCACACAGCACAGCAGTGGCAGCAGCAGAGCTGCGTGAGACCTAAGCCTGTGTGGGAGGACCTCTATTTTCATGGGGATTTGTTACGCTAATTCAGTTTTATGACAGCTGAGAATATCCTTCAGGTAGACGTATGAGCCGTGAATTACTGTGGATAGTCTGTTTCCTAAGTGTTGTGAAGTATTGCACTAGTTGACCTAGAGAAGTGGCTGTATTCAATCCAGGAAGATTGATGGTTTCTTGCAGTGTTCATATGTATTTGCTTTGATTTGGAAAAGGTGAGTTGTTAGGAGTGTAATTCACGCAGGTGAAGCAAACCATTTCTGAGCAGAAAGATTCCGCACATGTCAGCGCTTGGTTACATCCCCTGACAGCAAAATGAGAGTCTAAAGAGAGAGAAATGAGTTCCAGATGGTTGTGGTAACTGGCAAGAAACTAATACTGAGGCTGATCTTGAGAAAACAGACTGAAGACACCAGAGATGAAAGTGGGGGCAGGGTGGTCCAGATAAGGTTGATAACACATGATATATCATCTTTGGAGCATTCCAAGGGAGGATGGTGAGATGAACCATTTGTTCCTGGGTTGCAGTGTTTTGATGGTGAAAATGCTCTTGCTGTGACTGTTCTGCTTTCTGCACTGAAGGTAAAAACGATGCAGTAAATATCCCATTTCCCTGCATATGGCCCGTCAGCCTCTCTCTGCTCTGCAAGGATGCCGAGATAATTACTCATTGCAGGATTGCTGCTGTTTTCATCATCTGAAGCCCAGATCTATCTGCACCAATTCCTTGCTGTCTTGCCTATTGCTTGATAAAGGAATTTGATTGGCAACTTATAGCTGCCTTCTATTTTTAGTTGTCGGTGGAAGAAGGGTGAGGCAATGTACGTAATTCTCGTTACGGTTAATTTAATCCAATTGTGATGTGGATTTAGAGGTACTTAGTAGGTCACAACTGAGTGTGGGCTCCGTCTTTTTCCAGTTACTCTCATAAAACAATGGACACTGATAATTTTTTCCACTTCTAAAACTAGACACATACATCTAAAGGTAGTGGTGTGATCTGGTGCTTGTGTTATGCCGATATGTCTCCTGTTGATCTCCGTAACTCTCCCTTAATTGGGAAGAGGGTTCCTGTACATTTTGTGGGTTCCTCTGTCTTGTGGGTTGATGCATCTCCTGATGTATGGGACACAGCCGTAAAGACTAATGTGGACTAACTCTGCTTTTGTCTTTTTGTCTTGTTTTCTCTTTGAACAAAGCAGAGTCTATCAGAAAATTGTGATTGATCCTCATCTGGAATTTGTTTGTAAATACGAGCCGATACAGAAGTCTGCATCCTAGAAGTGACCCCTGGCCACCCCGGTCCCCAAGGCAGTTCTGAGCTCCTGTCACAGTTATGGAGGAGACACCAGGTTTGTTTTCTTCATTAACAGGAGGAGTTTGGAAAACCGACCGCGAAAAAATGACACAGGGTCCTTTTTCCTTTTCGCCTTGTACTGTGCCTCTCCCAGTTCTTCCATTTCTCACTGCCTTTGGCAGCCCAGGCTGGCTCCAGACGCAGGCCTGTAAGCCCTCCGGCTGCTGTGCCTGTAAATCCGGCGGGCCTTGCCCTGTGCAGTTCAATCCGAGTGATCCAGGCAGCGTTTTCCCTCTGTTCCCGGAGCAGGAGTGAAGCACTCGAGAGCGGCCAGGGACTCTGTCCACCGTGTTAGTGCTAGTCCCCAATTCGGCAGAGCATGGTGCGAGTGCCTGTAGTGGGGAGAATTCTCCAAAGTCCGTGATGTGGGGAGAGCTGGTATTTGCTAGTTTCCAACTACTGTTTCTCCCCAGAGGTTTTTAGAACAGCCACTCTTAGATTTGTCATGGAATTAAGGAAAACTACCTCCAGGGCGTACAATGCTGCTCTCCTGCTGCAACTTTTCCTCTTATTTTGGGGTAAGTTTTTGTCTTCTGTGCCTGATTCTTACCCAGCTACTATGCAGTAACTTTGAATCAAATCTGTGATCTGCCCTTGTATTGCAAAGGTAACTGAGCAAAATGTCACTCTCAGTTAGATTTGAAGCCTGAAAACTTCTTGTCTGGAAGGTAAACAGGCATTTCATTCTAGGTACGTTTTTCCTTCTATTTGTTGCTTATCTCCTTCTGTCTTTCTCCCTGTGCATGTTAGCATGAATTTATTCACAAGAGCTAAAATTGTGTGCACTTTCATGTAAGTAAGTCTTCAAGCTATTATAGTGACCATTTTCTTCATGGAAAAGTTCTGAATTTTATGGTTGTGCCCATACAGAAGAAACACAGAGTTTTATTTCCATTCTATATGCTTTAGAAATACATCTAGGCAAAAGAGGAGCATACCTAGGAGAGTATATTAATACATTGAAGTGCCAGATACCTCTGGTATGAAATTTGGAGGAAGATGACACTACATGAGTATTCTCACTTAGAAGTTTTGAAGAAAGCAGATCCATCCTGAAAGTGCAAGAAGTGGTAACAAAAGAGTTCAGCACACTGATGGGGTTTGGTTTGGTTTGGTTTGGTTTTTTCCACACTGCATACGTATTTTATAGCCAAGGAATATACTTGAATATACTGGCATTCTTCAAGTTCACATGTCTTTGGGTTCCAAAAGTCACCCTTGTATGTCATTTCTTATGCTACCTGAAAAATAGATTTCTCTGTTTCTCCCGGAATGGGTGCCTGGAGATCTGCTGGGCCTAGACATCTGTTTTAGTCATCTAGGGATTAGAAGGTCATGTCAGGAACATGTCCAACCTTTTACTGGAAAGTGTGATTGGGATTGAACCTGTCTCCTTATCCTCTCCTTGGCACTGCCAGGCCAGTATCTGTATATAAAAGTCCTGTTTTGTGGAATGATCAATGACATGAAGAAGTGGAGGTAAAATATGGAGAACATGCAGAAAATACAGTCAAAGTGCCTTTTCTCTGCTAATATCTGCTGAATGCTGCATTTGGCTTTTTCTCACATTAGTGGCTGATGTTTATGGACTTTCTGAGAGTTGGAGAAAGTTTTCAGCTTTTTCTTTGATTACCCAACAGTCTCTTTTTTTTTTTTTTTTTTCCTCTGAAGCCTCCCTAAATTTCCTTTGCTCTGATCACCTCGGATTATGAATATGAAAGGAAAAATTTGTTTTCATTTTTATCTGTTTTTTTGTTGTGGTTTTTTTTTTTTTTCTTGTCTTCCTTGTACCAGCTTCTTTGTCTGGTGTTTGCTCCAAGTGCCTGGAATTCCTCTGGCCACAGGGAAGCAGCAGGACTGTCTTTTGTATCTAGTAACCATAGCTACTGGTTTGGAGTGTGAAGCGATTATGGTGGCATTGTATTGTGCAGAAGGAAGGCCCATCGTATATACGGTGCTGCTCAGCATGGGGCTGCCAGAGGGCTGGCACGTTTCTGGGGGTTTGTGCTGTTTGACCATGGTGGTGATAGCTTTTCACTCTTGGGTAAAGCTTGTTTCTGGAACAGTGATTTAGTGAGTACAGTTGTTTTCTTTTGGAGTGCAGGTGGATGCCACATCTTGATAAAGCCAGCAAAGCTCAAGGGAAGTGGTGATTTCCATAGTCTTTCCACCTGCTCCTATTTTGCAAGGGGAATTCTGTCAGACTTTAACTGTAGTGAGTGGTGGTATTTATGTAGCATTTATAGGATTTTAGGGCCATAAGGAGTTGCCTTTTCTTGCCCTTGTGAGGCATATGACTGCTTTATTTTTGTTTCTAATTGCCTGAGTCTAAATGTCATTGAAGCATGGAGCAGCTAAGTTATTTGTTAAATTTTTTGAGAAAATTCTGATTGTCCAGATGACCTGTGCAAGCTGTAACCATAAGACCATCCTGCAGCCAGACCCACACTATCTCCAACTGTTTAAAATAAACTCCAGAGGGACAGTGGTACAGACTCCACATGTGGCTCCAGTTTTACTGCTGTTGTCTGTGTAATGGGCAGAATAGCTCTCAGCTTAATTTGTTGTGTTCTAAAGGAGATTCTGGAGGGCAGAATAAGTGTGTACTTATTTTTGTTCCCACAACTCTAGCCAGCAATGAGCACAGTAATTCGCATACCTTTGGCCTGCAAAATGCTTTGGACGCCTATTGAGAGAGAACATGTGCAGACAAACCTTTTTTCTGGCAGTTAGCTATCTGCTCTAGTGCAAGCTCTTGAGATTAGCTCGGACATATGGACAGTTTAAATTTTACTCGCTTCAAAATGTGGAAACAAAGAAATACAGTCTTTTCAGCTGTGTTGTTGATTGTCCATATATTTAAATAAGAAATGGAAATTAAAGCTTGTGACTCAATCTGGTTAACTGAATACACAGGAAACCCCCCTGTCTCAGTGTTTGATCTGTGGAAATGGCTGAGAGATCAGAGAATGTGTAAACCATGAAGGTCAGCTTGGAGGAGTGTTTATTAAGGGAAAATACTGGGGTGTCATAAGCACAGAAGATCAAAGAGCTACTGTGGCAATATATGCAATACTACCATAAACCATGGATTTGCAGCTCCTGCTTTCTCCAGGTTCTAAAAGCATGATAATAGGAGTTACATCTTCAAATCTGTGTTGAAACAGTGAGCAGATAATGAAAACGAGCTAGCTGGCTACTTCTTCTGTGTTAAGAGTAAGTTTAGTTCCCTGAAGTGGTATTTCTGATTAATGCTGTTAATGCCTCTGGCCATAATATTGGCACTGCTCAGCCCTGTGAATTGCTGCCCACTGTTTGGCACCATTTAGCAATTCACTGGGCAAGCTGGGTGGGAGAGAGCCAGGAATCAGCATTCTGCTGCTTTGAGGAGTAAATACTATGCAGATTTCACAAGGGGAAACCAGCCACATCTTCTTACACCTGTCTTAATGAAACTGTAGTGGTCTAGGCCTGTGTAAATTCTTTATGGATATTTTACACTAATAGACTGTGTATGTGTCTCTGGCATGAAAAAGCTCTGTCAGCCAAAAACCTAGCATGCAAATGTCGTGGTCTGGAACTTGTTGGTCTCCAGTACCAAAGAAAAACAACGTAAGCAGTAAGCTGGGAAATGATGAACGCACAATATTCTTCTAAAAATTCAGATAGGAAAAACTACAGTCTGAACTGTGTGCAGGGACTTCACTAGAGGTTTTTAAATTAGTATCCAAACTAGTAGTTGGCTAAGATACTGGGCTTGGGTGCTTAATCTACCACAACTCTACAAGGTATATCAAAGGCATGAATAGTAAAGCTCTTTTTAAAATAACTCTTCTAAAAGATGCTATAGGCATTGCTAGGACCCTGGGCATTTTGCTGGGTACTGTCTGCTGATTGCCAACATTGCTTTTTTGATTATCTGATCTTTATTTTGAGTTTGTTTTGTTGGGGTTTTTGTGGTCATAGTGTCATGTCTTATTTCACAGAGATTGTCAGATCTGATAAGCAGATAACCTGAGATGATGACGATGAAGTTTAGATTCAGCCAGCAGATAGCATCTCAGCCTTTGTGTTCACTGAAATATCATTTGTCCCTTTATACTATTTGCACAACGATTAAAAAAATGGAGAACAACAATTTGACTCTGGGCACCAGGATCTTGAGGGGAATTGAATATACCTGATCCTGATGGCAACATCACCCAAGCATGAGACCAGGAAATTCAGACAAAAGCTGATTGGAAGTTGTTGGAGGGGGAGAGGGAGCAGCTGGTAGGTGGGAGCAAGCTACTTCAACAGAACTTCTGATGGCTGGCAGAGGTGGTAAGCTGCTGCAGCTCAGGGGCTTAGTAGTTGTGATCAAACATTGGTATTCTGGAAAGCTTCCCATGCCCACATCCCATTTTCTGATGTTGAATAGAAAAGCCCACTGTTAAAGTAGGTGTCAAAAGATGCCCATTACCGTGTTAAACAGGACAAGCAATACAGGTTATGGAATATTTTAGGCTAGGTGAAAAATCAGTGCCAATTATTAGCATGTCATGAGCTTACCAGTAGTCTCAGGGAATTTCAGGGCCTTGTTTTCTGATGCTAGTATTACTAAGAGGAAGTACTTTGCTCAGGTCTGTGAAGAAAAGATTTAATCTCTCTGCATCAAGAAGGAAATGGGGCTTGTAAAGCCCTAGAGTGTGTAAAGGCACCTAAAAAGGCCTTAGACGCTCCCTGGACAAGTACACTGCAGGTACTTCCTGAAGAGGGATTTGACTTTATTCTGCCATTACCTTCCGTAGCAGATATGCTATCTTTCCAAAGTTAGCAAGGGTGGGGAAGAGAGAGGGTGAACAGCATGAAAGCCCCTTTTCAGGCCTGCCCAGTCTTCCTTCCTGGTGTGTGGATCCTGGGAACAGGCCACAGTGTGTACCCTT